TGGCAATGTTTCTAGTTAAGTCTTCTGTTTCATTGTCTTGTATGTAGTTGTCTGTCGTTTGTCACTTACTGTCTTATGTGTCACTGTCTTTAATACAGTTGTCTTCCTCATCTTACTGTCGTCTGTTTCATTGTCTTGTATGTAGTTGCCTGTCGTTTGTCACTTACTGTCTTATGTGTCACTGTCTTTAATACAGTTGTCTTCCTCAGCTTACTGTCTTCTGTGTCATTGTCTTGTGTGTAGTTGTCTGTCGTTTGTCACTTACTGTCTTATGTGTCACTGTCTTTAATACAGTCGTCTTCCTCAGCTTACTGTCTTCTGTGTCATTGTCTTGTGTGTAGTTGTTTGTCGTTTGTCACTTACTGTCTTATGTGTCACTGTCTTTAATACAGTTGTCTTCCTCAGCTTACTGTCTTCTGTGTCATTGTCATGTGTGTAGTTGTCTGTCGTTTGTCACTTACTGTCTTATGTGTCACTGTCTTTAATATAGTTATCTTCCTCAGCTTACTGTCTTCTGTGTCATTGTCTTGTGTGTAGTTGTCTGTCGTTTGTCACTTACTGTCTTATGTGTCACTGTCTTTAATATAGTCGTCTTCCTCAGCTTACTGTCTTCTGTTTCATTGTCTTGTGTGTAGTTGTCTGTCGTTTGTCACTTACTGTCTTATGTGTCACTGTCTTTAATACAGTCGTCTTCCTCAGCTTACTGTCTTCTGTTTCATTGTCTTGTGTGTAGTTGTCTGTCGTTTGTCACTTACTGTCTTATGTGTCACTGTCTTTAATACAGTTGTCTTCCTCAGATTACTGTCTTCTGTTTCATTGTCTTGTATGTAGTTGTCTGTCGTTTGTCACTTACTGTCTTATGTGTCACTGTCTTTAATACAGTTGTCTTCCTCAGCTTACTGTCTTCTGTGTCATTGTCTTGTCTTCCTCATCTTACTGTCGTCTGTTTCATTGTCTTGTATGTAGTTGTCTGTCGTTTGTCACTTACTGTCTTATGTGTCACTGTCTTTAATACAGTTGTCTTCCTCAGCTTACTGTCTTCTGTGTCATTGTCTTGTTTTTTTACTCTTTCTTTATCCTCCTTTATTTTCGATTGCTTATATTCCTCCTCTGCTTTAGCCATCCTTTCCTCGCCTCCTCCTTCTTTACCTTCTGAGTCAAGCAGTGATAAAACAGCCAGCACCTGTCACACCTACTAGCATCTGGTGGAGCAACAAGACCAGCCTTGCTGGAGCAACAAGACTAGCCTTGCTGGAGCAACAAGACTAGCCATGCTGGAGCAACAAGACCAGCCTTGATGAAGCAACAAGACTAGCCATGCTGGAGCAACAAGACCAGCCTTGATGAAGCAACAAGACTAGCCATGCTGGAGCAACGAGACTAGCCATGCTGGAGCAACAAGACCAGCCATGCTGGAGCAACAAGACTAGCCATGCTGGAGCAACAAGACTAGCCATGCTGGAGCAACAAGACTAGCCATGCTGGAGCAACAAGACTAGCCATGCTGGAGCAACAAGACTAGCTGGAGCAACAAGACTAGCCCTGCTGGAGTAACAAGACCAGCCCTGCTGGAGTAACAAGACTAGCCCTGCTGGAGCAACAAGACTAGCCCTGCTGGAGCAACAAGACTAGCCTTGCTGGAGCAACAAGACTTGCCATGCTGGAGCAACAAGACCAGCCATGCTGGAGCAACAAGAGCAGCCCTGCTGGAGCAACGCGACCAGCCCTGCTGGAGCAACAAGACCAGCCCTGCTGGAGCAACAAGACTAGCCATGCTGGAGCAACAAGACCAGCCCTGCTGGAGTAACAAGACTAGCCTTGCTGGAGCAACGAGACCAGCCTTGCTGGAGCAACAAGACTAGCCCTGCTGGAGTAACAAGACCAGCCCTGCTGGAGTAACAAGACTAGCCCTGCTGGAGAAACAAGACTAGCCCTGCTGGAGCAACAAGACTAGCCTTGCTGGAGCAAAAAGACTAGCCATGCTGGAGCAACAAGACTAGCCTTGCTGGAGCAACAAGACTAGCCATGCTGGAGCAACAAGACAAGCCATGTTGGAGCAAGAAGACTAGCCATGCTGGAGCAACAAGACCAGCTCTGCTGGAGTAACAAGACTAGTCTTGCTGGAGCAACAAGACCAGCCCTGCTGGAGTAACAAGACTAGCCATGCTGGAGCAACGAGACCAGCCTTGCTGGAGCAACAAGACTATCCTTGCTGGAGCAACGAGACCAGCCTTGCTGGAGCAACAAGACTAGCCATGATGGAGCAACGAGACCAGCCTTGCTGGAGCAACAAGACCAGCCTTGCTGGAGCAACAAGACCAGCCCTGCTGGAGCAACAAGACCAGCTCTGCTGGAGCAACAAGACTAGCCATGCTGGAGCAACAAGACTAGCCATGCTGGAGCAACGAGACCAGCCATGCTGGAGTAACAAGACTAGCCATGCTGGAGCAACGAGACCAGCCTTGCTGGAGCAACAAGACTAGCCATGCTGGAGCAACGAGACCAGCCTTGCTGGAGCAACAAGACCAGCCTTGCTGGAGCAACAAGACCAGCCCTGCTGGAGCAACAAGACCAGCTCTGCTGGAGTAACAAGACTAGCCTTGCTGGAGCAACAAGACCAGCCCTGCTGGAGCAACAAGACCAGCCCTGCTGGAGTAACAAGACTAGCCTTGCTGGAGCAACAAGACCAGCCCTGCTGGAGCAACAAGACTAGCCATGCTGGAGCAACAAGACCAGCCCTGCTGGAGTAACAAGAGCCCTAGCAACAAGACTAGCCTGCTGGAGCAACGCTGGAGACAAGCCTTGCTGGAGCAACAAGACTAGCCCTGCTGGAGTAACAAGACCCCTGCTGGAGCCCTGCTGGAGTAACAAGACTAGCCCTGCTGGAGCCCAAGACTACCCTGCTGGAGCAACAAGACTAGCCCTGCTGGAATGGCTGTCTCTCAGGCAGGCTGTGTCTCCTAGCACCATGGCTGTCTCTCAGGCAGGCTGTGTCTCCTAGCACCATGGCTATCTCTCAGGCAGGCTGGGTCCTAGCACCAAGGCTGTCTTTCAGGCAGGATATGTCTCCTAGCACCATGGCTATCTCTCATGCAGGCTATGTCTCCTAGCACCATGGCTGTCTCTCAGGCAGGCTGTGTCTCCTAGCACCATGGCTATCTCTCAGGCAGGCTGTGTCTCCTAGCACCATGGCTGTCTCTCAGGCAGGCTATGTCTCCTAGCACCATGGCTATCTCTCAGGCAGGCTATGTCTCCTAGCACCATGGCTGTCTCTCAGGCAGGCTATGTCTCCTAGCACCATGGCTATATCTCTCAGGCAGGCTATGTCTCCTAGCACCATGGCCATATCTCTCAGGCAGGCTATGTCTCCTAGCACCATGGCTGTCTCTCAGGCAGGCTATGTCTCCTAGCACCATGGCTATCTCTCAGGCAGGCTATGTCTCCTAGCACCATGACTATCTCTCAGGCAGGCTGTGTCTCCTAGCACCATGGCTATCTCTCAGACAGGCTATTTCTCCTAGCACCATGGCTGTCTCTCAGGCAGGCTATGTCTCCTAGCACCATGGCTGTCTCTCAGGCAGGCTATGTCTCCTAGCCCCATGGCTATCTCTCAGGCAGGCTATGTCTCCTAGCACCATGGATATCTCTCAGGCGGGCTAATGAAAGTAGATCTCTATTAACAACAATAAGAAAGAGACAAACACTGCTATTAGGCCACACAATGAGAAGAGAGACATTGGAGAACATTGTGATAACTGGAAAGATCAGTTGAAAGAGGGGTAGAGGCAGACCAAGAGAGATGATGCTGGATGGGCTGAAATAAAAGTATGGAGGGATATCATCAAGATAGCTGTTCCAGGCAACCAGGGATCATGATCGGTGGAGATGCATGAGCGGCTACGCCAGTTGGCAAGGCACATGATGATGATGGCTAGATATTTAGATGCATACACATCCCTGAAGTGGCAGCAAGACCAGACACCAGCAGGGAAAACCTGATAGGACATTTGATATTCATCTCCAAGTCAAAGACTGACCAGTCTCATGAATCTGGTGATGGTATCCCCATCTGTTCCCTGGCTACATTGGTACCCAGAGAGCTCTCCTTACACCTGTACATTGTCCACAACCTCCACAGGCCCAGTGTGTGTTTGAGTATGCAGCATGATAAAACAGCTAGTAGTGTGACATGTCAGCATGTCATGACTGACAATGTCAGCTTATCACTAGATGTCATGACTGACAGTGTCAGCTTATCACTAGATGTCATGACTGACAATGTCAGCTTGTCACTAGATGTCATGACTGACAATATCAGCTTGTCACTAGATGTCATAACTGACAATGTCAACTTGTCACTAGATGTCATGACTGACAATGTCAACTTGTCACTAGATGTCATGACTGACAATGTCAGCTTGTCACTAGATGTCATGACTGACTCACGACATGATCTCTTTCAGCCCTGACATGAGTGCAGAAGAAGAGGAACAAGAGCTGTACGATGATGGGGTCACACCTGTCCTCCCGCCACCTGTCCCTGTGCCAGGTAATCTTGTCTAAAGTTTGCATGTTTGTAGTCAGAGTGTTTACTTCGATGTTGTTGTCACACCTGCCCTCCTGCCACCTGTCCCTCCTGCCACCTGTCCCTCCTGCCACCTGTCCCTGTGCCAGGTAATCTTGTCTAAAGTTGGCATGTTTGTAGTCAGATTGTAGACTTTGATGCTGATGTCAGGCCTGCCCTCCCACCACCTGCCCTCCCACCACCTGTCCTCCCACCACCTGTCCTCCCACCACCTGTTCTCCTGTCACCTGTCCTCCCACCACCTGTCCTCCTGCCACCTGTCCTCCCACCACCTGTCCTCCCACCACGTGTCCTCCCACTACCTGTCCTCCTGCCACCTGTCCTCCTGCCACCTGTCCTCCTGCCACCTGTCCTCCCACCACATGTCCTCCCACCACCTGTCCTCCCACCACCTGTCCTCCCACCACCTGTCCTCCTACCACCTGTCCTCCTGCCACCTGTCCTCCTGCCACCTGTCCTCCTGCCACCTGTCCTCCTGCCACCTGTCCTCCCACCACCTTTCCTCCTGCCACCTGTCCTCCTGCCACCTGTCCCTGTGCCAGGTAATCTTGTCTAAAGTTTGCATGTTTGTAGTCAAAGTGTAGACTTTGATGCTGTTGTCACACCTGCCCTCCCACCACCTGTCCTCCTGCCACCTGTCCTCCTGCCACCTGTCCTCCCACCACCTGTCCTCCTGCCACCTGTCCTCCCACCACCTGTCCTCCTGCCACCAGTCCTCCTGCCACCTGTCCTCCTGCCACCTGTCCTCCCACCACCTGTCCTCCTGCCACCTGTCCTCCTGCCACCTGTCCTCCTGCCACCTGTCCTCCCACCACCTGTCCTCCCACCACCTGTCCCCCTGCCACCTGTCCTCCCACCACCTGTCCTCCCACCACCTGTCCTCCTGCCACCTGTCCTCCCACCACCTGTCCTCCCACCACCTGTCCTCCCACCACCTGTTCTCCTGCCACCTGTCCTCCTGCCACCTGTCCTCCTGCCACCTGTCCTCCTGCCACCTGTCCTCCCACCACCTGTCCTCCCACCACCTGTCCTCCCGCCACCTGTCCCTGTGCCAGGTAATCTTGTCTAAAGTTTGCATGTTTGTAGTCAAAGTGTAGACTTTGATGCTGTTGTCACACCTGCCCTCCTACCACCTGTCCTTCCACCACCTGTCCCTGTGCCAGGTAATCTTGTCTAAAGTTTGCATGTTTGTAGTCAAAGTGTAGACTTCGATGCTGTTGTCACACCTGCCCTCCCACCACCTGTCCTCCCGCCACCTGTCCCTGTGCCAGGTAATCTTGTCTAAAGTTTGCATGTTTGTAGTCAAAGTGTAGACTTCGATGCTGTTGTCACACCTGCCCTCCTGCCACCTGTCCCTCCTGCCACCTGTCCCTCCCGCCACCTGTCCCTGTGCCAGGTAATCTTGTCTAAAGTTGGCATGTTTGTGGTCAGAGTGTAGACTTTGATGCTGTTGTCACACCTGCCCTTCCACCACCTGTCCCTCCACATCCTACACTCATAGGTTGCTAGCTAGAAACCCAGTGAACATATCATACACTCATAGAAAACTCCATATTTGTAACACAAGTGAACATGTGGTAGAGAATCCTTCACTTGACTGACTTCTGTTTCTGTAATAATGCCACCATCAGATCTGTTTGTTGTTGTCTGTCCTTGACTTCTGTTTCTGTAATAATGCCACCATCAGATCTGTTTGTTGTTGTCTGTCTTTGACTTCTGTTTCTGTAATAATGCCATCATCAGATCTGTATGTTGTTGTCTGTCTTTGACTTCTGTTTCTGTAATAATGCCACCATCAGATCTGTTTGTTGTTGTCTGTCTTTGACTGACTTCTGTTTCTGTAATAATGCCACCATCAGATCTGTTTTTTGCTGCCTGTCCTTGACTGACTTCTGTTTCTGTAATAATGCCACCATCAGATCTGTTTGTTGTCTGTCCTTGACTTCTGTTTCTGTAATAATGCCACCATCAGATCTGTTTGTTGTTGTCTGTCCTTGACTGACTTCTGTTTCTGTAATAATGCCACCATCAGATCTGTTTGTTGTCTGTCCTTGACTGACTTCTGTTTCTGTAATAATGCCACCATCAGATCTGTTTGTTGTTGTCTGTCCTTGACTGACTTCTGTTTCTGTAATAATGCCACCATCAAATCTGTTTGTTGTCTGTCCTTGACTGACTTCTGTTTCTGTAATAATGCCACCATCAGATCTATTTGTTGTCTGTCCTTGACTGACTTATGTTTCTGTAATAATGTCACCATCAGATCTGTTTGTTGTTGTCTATCCTTGACTGACTTCTGTTTCTGTAACAATGCCACCATCAGATCTGTTTGTGGTTGTCTGTCCTTGACTTCTGTTCCTGTAATAATGCCACCATCAGATCTGTTTGTTGTTGTCTGTCCTTTCTGACTTCTGTTTCTGTAATAATGCCACCATCAGATCTGTTTTTTTGTTGTCTGTCCTTGACTGACTTCTGTTTCTGTAATAATGCCACCATCAGATCTGTTTGTTGTCTGTCCTTGACTGACTTCTGTTTCTGTAATAATGCCACCATCAGATCTGTTTGTTGTTGTCTGTCCTTGACTGACTTCTGTTTCTGTAATAATGCCACCATCAGATCTATTTGTTGTCTGTCCTTGACTGACTTATGTTTCTGTAATAATGTCACCATCAGATCTGTTTGCTGTTGTCTATCCTTGACTGACTTCTGTTTCTGTAACAATGCCACCATCAGATCTGTTTGTGGTTGTCTGTCCTTGACTTCTGTTCCTGTAATAATGCCACCATCAGATCTGTTTGTTGTTGTCTGTCCTTTCTGACTTCTGTTTCTGTAATAATGCCACCATCAGATCTGTTTTGTTGTTGTCTGTCCTTGACTGACTTCTGTTTCTGTAATAATGCCACCATCAGATCTGTTTGTTGTCTGTCCTTGACTGACTTTTGTTTCTGTAATAATGCCACCATCAGATCTGTTTGTTGTTGTCTGTCTTTGACTGACTTCTGTTTCTGTAACAATGCCACCATCAGATCTGTTTGTTGTCTGTCCTTGACTGACTTCTGTTTCTGTAATAATGCCACCATCAGATCTGTTTGTTGTTGTCTGTCCTTGACTGACTTCTGTTTCTGTAATAATGCCACCATCAGATCTGTTTGTTGTTGTCTGTCCTTGACTGACTTCTGTTTCTGTAACAATGCCACCATCAGATCTGTTTGTTGTCTGTCCTTGACTGACTTCTGTTTCTGTAACAATGCTAACATAAGATCTGTTTGTTGTTGTCTGTCTTTGACTGACTTCTGTTTCTGTAATAATGCCACCATCAGATCTGTTTGTTGTTGTCTGTCTTTGACTGACTTCTGTTTCTGTAATAATGCCACCATCATATCTGTTTGTTGTTGTCTGTCTTTGACTGACTTCTGTTTCTGTAATAATGCCACCATCAGATCTGTTTGTTGTTGTCTGTCTTTGACTGACTTCTGTTTCTGTAATAATGCCACCATCAGATCTGTTTGTTGTTGTCTGTCCTTGACTGACTTCTGTTTCTGTAATAATGCCACCATCAGATCTGTTTGTTGTTTGTCTGTCCTTGACTGACTTCTGTTTCTGTAATAATGCCACCATCAGATCTGTTTGTTGTTGTCTGTCTTTGACTGACTTCTGTTTCTGTAATAATGCCACCATCAGATCTGTTTGTTGTTGTCTGTCCTTGACTGACTTCTGTTTCTGTAATAATGCCACCATCAGATCTGTTTGTTGTTGTCTGTCTTTGACTGACTTCTGTTTCTGTAATAATGCCACCATCAGATCTGTTTGTTGTTGACTGTCCTTGACTGACTTCTGTTTCTGTAATAATGCCACCATCAGATCTGTTTGTTGTCTGTCCTTGACTGATTTCCGTTTCTGTAATAATGCTACCATCAGATCTGTTTGTTGTTGTCTGTCCTTGACTGACTTCTGTTTCTGTAATAATGCCACCATCAGATCTGTTTGTTGTCTGTCCTTGACTGATTTCCGTTTCTGTAATAATGCCACCATCAGATCTGTTTGTTGTTGTCTGTCCTTGACTGACTTCTGTTTCTATAATAATGCCACCATCAGATTTGTTTGTTGTTGTCTGTCCTTGACTGACTTCTGTTTCTATAATAATGCCACCATCAGATCTGTTTGTTGTTGTCTGTCCTTGACTTCTGTTTCTGTAATAATGCCACCATCAGATCTGTTTGTTGTCTGTCCTTGACTGATTTCCGTTTCTGTAACAATGCCACCATCAGATCTGTTTGTTGTTGTCTGTCCTTGACTGACTTCTGTTTCTGTAATAATGCCACCATCAGATCTGTTTGTTGTTGTCTGTCCTTGACTGACTTCTGTTTCTATAATAATGCCACCATCAGATTTGTTTGTTGTTGTCTGTCCTTGACTGACTTCTGTTTCTATAATAATGCCACCATCAGATCTGTTTGTTGTTGTCTGTCCTTGACTTCTGTTTCTGTAATAATGCCACCATCAGATCTGTTTGTTGTCTGTCCTTGACTGATTTCCGTTTCTGTAACAATGCCACCATCAGATCTGTTTGTTGTTGTCTGTCCTTGACTGACTTCTGTTTTTGTAATAATGCCACCATCAGATCTGTTTATTGTTGTCTGTCTTTGACTGACTTCTGTTTCTGTAATAATGCCACCATCAGATCTGTTTTTTGCTGCCTGTCCTTGACTGACTTCTGTTTCTATAATAATGCCACCATCAGATCTGTTTGTTGTTGTCTGTCCTTGACTGACTTCTGTTTCTTTAATAATGCCACCATCAGATCTGTTTATTGTTGTCTGTCTTTGACTGACTTCTGTTTCTGTAATAATGCTACCATCAGATCTGTTTGTTGTTGTCTGTCCTTGACTGACTTCTGTTTCTGTAATAATGCCACCATCAGATCTGTTTGTTGTTGTCTGTCCTTGACTGACTTCTGTTTCTGTAATAATGCCACCATCAGATCTGTTAATTGTTGTCTGTCCTTGACTGACTTCTGTTTCTGTAATAATGCCACCATCAGATCTGTTTGTTGCTGTCTGTCCTTGACTTCTTCTTCTTCTTCTTCTGCGTTCGACATCAGTCATGCTAAACATTGAATCCCGTCTGGGTCACAAATAGGATTGTGCGTTTAAGGTCGCCACCGGTCCCCCATAGCTTCTCTTGCAATGTGGCTCCCTTGGGCCAGATCCACAGTCTTGGCTGGGAGAGGTTAGGACAGTACTGTAGTATGTGTTCAGGGGTTTGTCTTTCTGCTCCACAATCACAGGCAGCAGATTCTTTTATGCCTATCCTGTACAAGTGTGCTCGAAGACCACAGTGTCCAGTCCGAAGTCTAAAAATTTATGTTTGTTCTGTCCTGTTGAGTTTGTTTATGCTGTCACTTTCTGGTCTGTAATCTCCATTCTGCCTTCTCCACTCCCGCTTGAAAGACTGCTTTAGCGCTGTTTTGGTTTCCTTATAGCTGTGTGGTGGATGAGGTTGTGGAAGATTACTCCCAGCTTTTGTCAACTCATCTGCTCTCTCATTTCCTTGATTACCACAGTGGGCTGGTATCCACTGCAAGACCAGTTCTGCTTCCTTGGAGAGTAAGCCAGTGTTGGTCCTTAGATCAGCAATTAGTTTGTCTTGTTTTTTGCTGGATAGTGCTTGGAGAACAGACAATGAGTCACTAAGTATAACAATTTGGTGCCCTCTGTGTTCTTGAGTGATGAGATGTTGGACTGCAGAGAGGAGGGCAGTTGCCTCAGCTCTGAAGTTGGTGCAGATGTCACCTGCTGGTAGAGAGAGAGTTTCTGCTCTACTGCTAGAGGGTTTAATGTAAATTCCACAACCCCCCTTTCTGACTGCATCTGTAGCAGAGCCGTCGGTGAAAACCTGAGTCCAAGTTTTGTTTGGATACTTCTCATCAAGCATAGCAAGAGCCAGGGTTCTCTGTTGTGTCTCCGTCTGGGCATCTTTTGAAGTGATTCCTGGTACCTTTAGGACTACATTTGCTTTCTCTGGCTTGCTTGTCCATGGTTCTGGCCTAAGTTTTTCGCACAGTGCAACATCTCTTTCAAGCAGATCTTGGTGCTTTTTGTACAGTTCTCTAGCAAGGTGGTTGGGGCTCTGACGCTTCCGTCTGTTTTTTGTTCTCTCTTGAAATTTAAAATGCAGTGAGTGACTTTAAAGTCTTTTTAATTTCTCGTACTGTAAAAGAGTTTTGTATTGTCTTCTGAGTTGGAGTGGTTCAGTATCTGCTATCTTTTCTATTTCTCTGATGGGGGTGGTTTTCATGGCTCTGAGATCAATCCTTAATCCCATATTCTGAACCTTGTCCAGTTTTCCCATTGTTGTCTTGGCTGCTGCAGCCCATGCAGTGGAGGCATATTCCATGACTGGCCTGACTGCTCCAGTATATACTTGTTTTAGGATTCTAGAGTTAGCTCCCCATGTGGTACCTGCTAATTTTTTCATCACTGCAAGCTTCTTGAATGCTTTTCCCTGTACTGCTTCTACATGTGACTTCCAAGTTAGTCGCGAATCAAGTGTA